TTATATCGAGTTATATCGAGTTATATCGAGTTATATCGAGTTATATCGAGTTATATCGAGTTATATCGAGTTATATCGAGTTATATCGAGTTATATCGAGTTATATCGAGTTATATCGAGTTATATCGAGTTATATCGAGTTATATCGAGTTATATCGAGTTATATCGAGTTATATCGAGTTATATCGAGTTATATCGAGTTATATCGAGTTATATCGAGTTATATCGAGTTATATCGAGTTATATCGAGTTATATCGAGTTATATCGAGTTATATCGAGTTATATCGAGTTATATCGAGTTATATCGAGTTATATCGAGTTATATCGAGTTATATCGAGTTATATCGAGTTATATCGAGTTATATCGAGTTATATCGAGTTATATCGAGTTATATCGAGTTATATCGAGTTATATCGAGTTATATCGAGTTATATCGAGTTATATCGAGTTATATCGAGTTATATCGAGTTATATCGAGTTATATCGAGTTATATCGAGTTATATCGAGTTATATCGAGTTATATCGAGTTATATCGAGTTATATCGAGTTATATCGAGTTATATCGAGTTATATCGAGTTATATCGAGTTATATCGAGCATAAATCCTATATTGATACCGTTCTTTGCGGTTCTTTTCTTTGCCGACCGGTCGGCTTCTTTGCGTTTCTCTATTTTCATTTAAATTAATTAAATAAATAAGATTTGTCCATTCATCTAGGTTCATTCAGGTTCATTCATTCAGGTTATAGCTTCCAGAGGAGTTCGTCGTGGAGGATCAGAATGGTTGTAATGTCACCCTACGTTCAACCTTAACCCTAACTTCCGACTTTACGGTTTCTTAACGGTTTCTTTTTTTGCCAGTTTGCTGGCTTTTCCGGCTGGTGGATTTCACCGCGGCTCGTTTCTCTATTTTCATTTAAATTAATTAATTAAATAGGATTTTTTCATTTCATTCAGGTTGAAGCTTCCAGAGGAGTTCATCATGGAAGATGTCAGGCTACGTTCGTTCATTCAGTGGCAAAGAATACCTGCCTGACTGGAATACGTTTTCTTCTTTTTTTCTGTAATTTAACATTAAGTAGGAATGCTCACACGCACACACACGCATACACAATTACATTAAGTAGCTATATAGGTAGGTTAGATAGGCCTAATTTTAATTGTAGGTAGGATAGATAGGGAGCATCCAACACTAATGTAGTTTAATAGGTAGGCAGCGTAAGTTTATCTCTTCTATTTTATCTTGCACCCACATTACACGCACCAGCGTATTACACACACACACACACACACACACACAAATACATACATAAACACATATGTTAGTATTTGAGCGTAATTTT